TGTCATTAGTATACTTAGGTTCTATGAATAGAGGACCACAATGGATGTTTACCTTCTTCAAGTGTGAGATGGCAAGGTTTGAGGGAGATAGCCTCTATACTATCCTTCAGTTGAGCTCCTCGGACCTAATTGCAATATTAGTAATTAAGAAACTAATCAATCCTTTCTATTCGACGCTAGGAAATAAGACAACCATGCTCACAAAGTAGATGGCCTACATACTTTTATTAGAACTTACTTCATGAGATAGGGAGTAATTGGTGAGGTGGCATGCCTCCACGCGTACGGCTAAAAGCTTCCGGACGTCTAGGATCCTGTCCGTCGATATTCCCTTTCAGTAAGCATGTGTTAGTTGCGTCTTCTTGTCTTTTTTTTTTTTTCCTCCACACCAATGTGAATAGATTTTATCACCATGCATAGAAGCGTTACCTTGAGAGTGAGGTGAGAGTAGTCGGGAGTCTCAACCGTGATATCAACAACAGTCGGCAACACTACAAATTGAGCCACGTAACAAATTGTAATTCGGAGGAGAAGAAAATTAAATCCGAGCATAGATAGATAGGTGGATAGACAGGCAGATAAACAAATAACAACCTTTTTCTTCCTTCTTCTTCTTCTCGCCCTTCGGCTTGTGAGGCTTCGCCTTCCCATTCTTAGGCGCCATCGCGCATTAACGCGTGATGTTGTACCCCAGTCTAGGGAGAGAGGTGTCTAGAGAGTGCGCGCGCGTGCTGTGTGATGGGAGGATGTTGGACGAGAGTGCAAGAGAGTGAGGTAGAGATATAATGAAGAGGTGGGAGAGAACGAGAGAAGATAGGGGATAAGGTGTTACGGGTGCTAGAAGCTTATATGAGTTGAGTTTACTGAGGGAGAGAGAGACAAGAGGGAGAGAGGGCGAGATAGGAAAATTGAGTTTTTGGGTGAGGGAATTGAGACCTCTCATTTCCTACTGGGGGCCAATTGGCCTCATCGTCACCAAATCTCATTTGCCTCTCTCTCTCTCTAGTCTCTGCTGCCTCCTCTCCTCTCCTCTCTTTTATTTCTGACCCCTATCAGTAAGAACGTGAATATGTCCCACAAATTTGGGCTGTGTCCTCTCGATCCCCCAGCTCTCAGCGCAGAGAATTTTCCTCGATCGCATGCAACCGTGGATAATATATAGACGATTATAATTAATTTTTAACGTAACCGATATTGTGCGACTGTGTGAATTAATATATGAACTCACTCTGTCATTCAATACGAATGATAGATATACAATAACTAACAGGTTATGATTGAAGAAAAGCGTTATTTGTGGATATACGGCCTCCTGTAGTATCATTGCTTTGGACTTTTTTGCAACAATTGAACTAGAGCGGTAGTAAGTTCAAAATAGTGATACTGCAGAGCGTCTATCCGCAATTAGTAATAATAATAAAAAAGTAATTTTCTGCTCTCGGGTTTGATGATTCGGTCGACCGGCACGGTCGACCGCGAGACCTGCGCGGTCGATCGCCGCGGTCGACCGACGATGATCTGGGCTGGGCTTCAGGTTTTGACCCGATTCGGTTTTAAGTTGATATATAAACTAAAACCAGATTTGTTAGGGCTAATGTAAGGACGAATTTGAGTAGTCTAAGAGAGAGAATTGTTGCATCCAATTGTGGGAGAGTTGTGAAAGATCTAGAGCTTTGTTTTAGGGTTTGATCTGAGAGATTTGTAATCCTATTTGTATTCTCTTGATTTCTAGTAGTAAGAACTCCCCCCTCCTTGCCCCGTGGACGTAGGCAACTTGCCGAACCACGTAAATTCTTTGTTCTTGCTGTGATTGTGGTTTGCATATTGTTTGTGGTTTAGTTCGAGTTATTGTTCGTGTTGCCCTAGAAAGCTTCCGCCGCGCACAACAATAACCACAGCCAAAGGATCTGAATTCCTAATGTCTTGAAATATTTTGCCTATTATTTTTAGGAGAAAATCTTTTTGACAGTTGACACAGATGACAATGAAATTAGTTGGCCTCCAAATTAAGTTTAGCTCAAGGCCGGGCAAAACATGTAGTACAGGGATCTATACCCAACACGCATTTGAGATGGTTATTGACGGGGACGGTGTGGATTTAAAAACTAGATACGTGTGCATTTTTCTAAACCGGTTTTGGTACTTAGAAGCTGACGTGAACTTTTATTTTTAGCTTATTTTTCCTTTTGGGCAAAGAACTGGAACATTTTATATAAACCAGCCAATAGGCGATCATTCGTTACAAAATCAATAAATGTAGACGTAACTCCCACCATCCAAACTTCATAATCACCCACGTCAAGAGCTTGCTTGACTGGTGCTTGAGCTAGTGAGTTTCCAGTTCTCCTCACATGCTTCATTCTCCAACCGCTCAACATTTCTAAGAATCCCAAAATATCTTTAATATATGACCCAAGGCACCTCTAGCGTGTTTAGCATGAACTCTCGGTCTCCTGCAACCGATTGAGTAGAACCTATCTCTATCTCGAGGAGATCAAAGCCAACATCAGTCCAAGGCTAAGCATTTCTATTGCCAAAGTTTACTTGAACAGATATGGACGTTTATATATCAGTCCTGTTAGTTGTTTAATTGCTAATGAAATTATATATTTGCTAGTTTACATTACAAAATTACCAAGCATGTAAACATACATGTCACGCCTCAAGCCTGCAAGCTCGGTGCTAGGCTTAAACCATCGCCAATATGGGCGCAAGAATCGCAAGATGTTGTTTGGCATGATATCCTCGACCCTTATCACGCTCTTTCATAAAAAAAAAACTCTGTCGATACTCTTTTTCAAGCAAAAGAAAGAAACCTTAACCATGCTTAATAATAAGAAAAGACTAAAAACAATTTACACAAAGCACATCACATACTAAAAGCAAAATATGTGACAAAATACAAACTCAAGATTGAAACCACATTTTGAAACTTGAGGACCAAAAATGAGTTATGAATGGTATCTTCACCACGTTCCATTTAATGAGATAACAGTGAACTTCACATCATATAAGGTTTGGAATCATATATCAACAACATTTGGAAAAACTTGGATCAATCTACATCAATTATAGAGCAAAAAAAAATCAATACAAATTAAGGAATTGCAGTAAAATTACACAGGATAGAGAAAAGATCCTTTGCAGCTACTTGGCTGAGCCACTTGATTTTATACATACAGGAACTGCATTCACAATTCATACATTATTTTAGCTGAGCCACTTGATCGAAGATTATCGGGTACACGAGAATCTTAGATAGGATTTAGCTGTGTTTCTAGCTGGGTGCATGAGGCTTCCCCAACCACTTGGCACGAAATCCTGTACCTTTGCAATCGGGACAACACGAGGAACCCTGCACAAATACAAAACACTAGTCACGTGATTTTGGCAATGTAGTGCTCGATGATATTTTTTCTCATTTTCATTTTCTTTTTATTTTTTATTATA